GCAGCCCCGCAGTCAGTCAGGAAAAATCCCGGTGTCCTGTTGACTGATTTGGCCATTTCTCCATTACTTTGATTTATTTAACATTTATTATTAGGCTACTTTATATTAGTGCCTGCCTGATGGATACAAGGTATTTCTGAGCTCCGCTTTCAATTGTGACCAGTGGATTTGAAATATAAACGTGATAGTTTGATTAAAAATAAATCGATAGCCTAATCATGGATTCGCTGTTTGCAATCTGATCTCCGGCGAAAGGCTTCTGCACACAAAAAAGAAAAGCCCTGCATGAACACGCAGCATAATGAAGCGAGTGGATTTTCCTGATGGATCTCATATCAATAAGATGATGTCTGTGTGCGAGGATTATGAACGTATGCTCCTTTTCTATGTGCGTTCCTCTCTTAACACGAAAGTGAAGGTAACCTACGCATTCGGGATAGTTTAAAGAATTCGGGTCCATTTGGGAAAAGCATGTTTATTTTAAATTACCCGAGACCCGAGGCCGCTAATACTGAACCCGACCCGTGTCCGAGGTACTCGTCGAAGTTTTGGACCCGAACCCGCTCTGGTCTCAGGTCGGACCTCGGGTTTTCGGATCCAAGTGGACCCGTGAAGACCTCTAGCGTAAACTCCAAAAATGGGCAGAACCTTCAAAATGGGGCGGGGTCTCCACGCTCAAAGACTTACACCATTGGCTCTAGCTTCAGCTAGTAGAGAATGGGAACGTGACGTCGGCAAGGCAATGCATTCTGGGACTTTTGGACACCGACACTACAGTAGAGACTGGGTAACAGTGGATGTAGATGTTAAAATGTATATTATACAGCTAAAAACACATTAGAATGGAGAATGCTTGCTGTGTTGAACTGCCATATCTGCTCTCATGACCAGAGTGGAAAACGGATCTGAAATGAAGTGCAGTTTTCTGCTTTTCAGCTTGGAAACAACACAATGGTGAAAGTGAAAGTATAGCTCAAATGAAAATGAACAACTTGACCAAAATTTGTCTTTGTCATTTGTATTTATTATTTACTACAGATTCATAATTTCCAATCCACTTGAATTTGTAAGTGCTCACACCATGAATAATGTACGAAAAGACGTTTGGAAATGTTATGTGTGATATAGCTCGTTGCGATCACTCTCTGTGTTCATAAAGCAACACTCCTTTGATTCATTGTTCAGTAACTCTTTGTAAGAAATAGAGTTTTTTTTTTTTTCATTTAATTCCAGTAAAACCTATTTGGTGTAGCGCTTTCACGACACAATTTATTTCAGAGCTGCATTACAGAGGGTCGTACTGTTATTTATACTTCTCTCCAAAAAATGTTGAAGTAGACATATGATAATCCATGTTTTACTCCAGTGTACAGGAGATTTTTTGTTTTGTTAATTTGTTTTAAAAATCGCATTTTAAATCACAAAAAAACTGATGCGCCAAGCCATCAGAACCGAACTGAACCGAAAACGTCTCTTGTTAACCTTGGTTCCCTGAGAGAAGGGAACGAGATACTGCGTCATCGAAGATGTAGCTTTGGGATTATCCCCTCCTTCCTCGAATCTACTGAAGCCTTATGAAATCTCCCAGGTGAGAATTCACCTACCAATGGCGTTCAAACATGCAAAATAGAGGTGGGCCTCCCAACACTATAAGACGGCGCTGAACGCCATTGCCTCCGAATCTTTGGACTGAAGCAGAGTGCAGCTGACAAAGACTCTGAGCTATGTAACATGGCAGCGTACACAGTTTCTTGTTCCCTCCTCTCAGAGAACCGAGGTTACATTAGGTAACCAGAGACGTTCCCTTTCGAGTTGGTCTCTCGACACTGCATCATCGAAGATGTCGCTTTGGGGATCTCATAAAATTCCGCCGTGTTGATAGCGAAGGTCCAGATCGGCTGCAAGCAAAGCCACTGACCATACACTCACTAAAAGCTTTCATGTCGACACTTCGTCTCCAGACTGCATTAACAGCAGCCATTCAGCACCGCAGACGCATGGATAGTCGCCTAGCAATGTTTACCCCGGGATATGTGACATCCACAGTGTGAGCACTGCACCATCACAGTGTGACTGACCGTGCTGTGCGGTTAATGGTGGCGGTTTTGCCAACACCTAGTACTGATGTCCGCTGCAGCGGTGGTGCCGGTGCTGTCTTGAACATAATGCACGGGGGGTAAACACCGTGCAGATGAACACGAAGGCAGCAGTAGCATTGGTTCTAATCCCCAGTCAGTATTTACACAACTTAGTCGAACACTGCCAACTTGGTGGGGCTGCAACGGTTTAAGACGAATGCTGAACATTGATTCAGCTAGCTTGATTCCTGCACGGACAATGCATGCATTGCTTACACTATCCATAATCAGGCTATAATAACACGAGGCGATGAACGGCGGCCACTCAGGCATGCATTATGGATAGTGTAAGCAATACTTCAAACCCATATAAGAAAACAGCGGCAAAGCTGGTGATGCGGGAGAATAAAATGATTTGCGGGATTCCCACAAAATAAATATCTAAACGTAAAATATCTAAAAACAAATATATTGTTAATTCATCTATTGCACAAAAGCAACAAGAACGACTAATAAAAATGAGAACGGTTCTTGTGCAGTGCTGAACTTTGCGTGCTCCTCAAATTCTCTTATTATATAACACATGAAGTGTAGACATTATGAAAGAGTCATCGTGCATATATTAATTGTGTTATAGCAGAGCTTTGTGAGATCGCGATGAACTGAGATATCAGCTTTTTAGTGATTATAAAAAAGCCTAGTTCACGCTACACAACTTAAAACGTCGGCAGATCGCTGTGCTGTTCAGACTACATGACTTGCTGTCTGTATTGAAGTCGTTGTGGTGTTCACACTAGGCGACACTACGTAAATGATCCACAACAGGGGGTCACACACTACACTAGCTGACAACAACTCTTAGTCAGGGTTCCTACGCAGTTTGGAATTTGATTTGAGTAATTTCCAGGTCTGGAAAAGTATGGAAAAAAGAAAGCAGGGTATGGAGAAATATTTGCATTTCCGGACTTTTGCCCCTATTTAGTTTTCTGTAATAGAAAATTAAGAATTTAATGAAAATGTGTGTTTTCATGGCAGCTGTTTAATGATTCTTTAGTGATTGTCAGACATTGACTGAATGAATTCAAGGTGCACTTTTTCATTATGCAAAAATGCAGGGTAAAGGTGTTTTGGGTTTCTTCTCACACTCTTCTTAGCACTGTATTACAGAGCCTCTAAAAGGATCTTTTCAAAAATAAGAAATATACAGACTTTTGTGTTTGTGCAAGAAACTTAGCAATTTTATAGCATTAAGCTTAGCAAATAGGATGATGCTCACTGAGCCACCTATGCACCATCAGCCCAAATCGCGGAGTGGTTTTTTTTTTGGCCGCCACAGAGTTTGTGTTAAAGCAGACTTAAGGCCTTGAAATATGTATGTATACGTATTGCCCTAACGAAAGGCAAATTTTGAACACTTTTTTTTTTATTTTTACCAGTAGTCTTTTTTTATAGACCCTTGAACTTGGCAAATAGGACAATGCACACAGCTGTATTTTGCCATCAGCCCATTTGGTGTCATTGTTTCTCCGCCGCCACAGAGGATGCATTAAATTGGACATTAGGCCTTAGTATTAGAGGTACTAGCCTAAGGAAAGCCAAATTTTGAGCAAATAGATCTCTATTAATTCTTGTGCATCCAAGCTCTCATTTTCTTCATAGTAAGATTGCAGTGATGCTCAAGGGAAATAGGTTATAGTATATATAAAACTAGAAATTGTAATGCATAAGCACACAAAAAAAATCCCATGCTCATGTCAATAGTTTCTCGAAGGCACAAAAAAAAAGTTTCTTGTATGTGTGCAAAAGTCAGGTTTTGTTTTTTAGAGGCTCTGTATGTTGTCACTTGGAGAAAATCCATGGATAAACCCCTGAGAAAATATAATTATTTACAACTGACTGTACTATATACCAAATATAAAGCTGACAATAATGCTCTATGAACCATTTATGTTAAATATAGTCTGAAAGTCTACTGAAAGGTTTGGAAATTTGAGTCTGGAAAAGTATGGAATTTTGAGATTGAGAAATGTGTAGGAACCTTGCTTAGTTCAGTGTTGTGTTGTGTAGTGTAGTGTCCAGAGTAACTGTGCCATGTTGGATGCTGTCAGGTGGTGGTGTAGGCTATAGCAAAGTTCAGGTCCATGGTCTTGATATTAAAGTGTTTTTCCATTACCTCAAAATTAATTCTCTACTAATAAATCAAATCTGAGCTGTAGTTGTGTTTGTGAATGACTGTGCAGTGGTTTTGTGTTGACACAGGAACCTGAGTTCAGCTGGAGAAGAAGCCAGAAAATACATGCGCTCCTGTGAGGGACTCGTGGACTCACTGCTGTACGTCATCAAAGCCTGTGTGAGCACCTCTGATTTTGACAGCAAGGTATGCACCAGAACCCCTAACACACACACACACACATACACACTCACTCAATCACACAAACTCACACTTAGTCACACAATCATGTTCAGTCAGTGAAGGCTGTCTCTCTCTCAGATTGTGGAAAACTGTATTTGCATACTGAGGAATCTCTCCTATCGGCTGGAGCTGGAAATGTCACCCTCCTGGCTGACAGCCAATCAGGAGCTTGATGGGTTAATGGGGTCAGAGTCACCCAGTAAAGAGGCAGCTTACAGCTGCTGGGGGAGGAAGAGGAGAAAAAAGAAGAATTTAATCGAAGAACAGGTGAGACTTACATTTTGTCTTGTCTGCATGTAAATCCATTGCTTGTGCTTCATGTATACAGGCTTATTCTTCTGAATGGTAGTGTAAGTGTTATCCCAATAAATATCTGTGGAAAGTTCTTTAGAGAGAGTTCTTTAGAAACCAAGTTTCTTAAATTAAGTGACTTCTAAAAGTATTAATTATTTCTAAATAACAATAATCCAGAAGATATAGCTGCAAGTGACGATGACAGGCCCAAGCATTATGGTGCCTCCGCCACTCAATAGCTCGAGAAAATAAATGCACATGCATTTATGCGGTTACGAGCAATAGCCACATCATGTCATCAGCCTCCATGACCAAACATACAGCTCAATTAGATATAAATGTGGTGAAGGTGTCTTGATTTATCTGTGTATTAGATTCGGTGAGAATCATGAGCCCCAAAAGCCCTCAAAACCTTCAGTTTAAGGTGTGATGTCCCTGTGTCAGAGTAACAGAGTGGACGAACCCAAGATGACCGTATGATAGGTAGAGGGGTTTCTAAAGTGCCTTCAAGAAACTGAGAAATTTCTACAGCTGGCATAACTCAAATATTTATTGTCAATGAATATGTAAGTGAAATCTTTTTTTGTGTTAAATATTGTGTAGTGATTTATTTATGGGCAGAAGGAATGTTAAACTAGCTCCCAGGTCAGTGCTTGCACCTGAGTTAACTATGGAGCCTGTTCAAAATGCTTGTGCTATTGACAGCACCATGTTCTTTTTGGACTTGGATACATCAAAAGGTGCAGAGGAAATTAGTAATTGGTTTGCTTCACACCCAGAGTCCTCTACCTATGGAAGCCCGTTTCCGCCACTGAATAAAAAATAAAAGAGGTAATTGCGACTTTTTATCTCACAATTCTGACTTTTTTTCTCAGAATTGCGTGATACAAACTCGCAATTCTGACTTTTTTTTTTCTCAGAATTGCGTGATATAAACTCGCAATTGCGAGTTAAAAAGTCAGAATTGTGAGATATAAACTCGCAATTCTGAGAACATAGCAGTCTTTATTCCCCCCTCAAAATTGGACTTTAACTCGCAATTGCGAGATTATATCTCACAATTCTGAGAAAAAAAGTCAGAATTGCAAGAAAAAAGTCAGAATTGCGAGATATAAACTCGCAATTGCGAGAAAAAAAGTCAGAATTGTGAGTTTTTATCTCGCAATTGTGACTTTATATCTCGCAATTCTGACTTTATAGCTCGCAATTGTGACTTTATAACTCGCAATTGCAAGTTTAAAAAGTCGCAATTACCTTTTTTATTCAGTGGCGGAAACAGGCTTCCATATCTACCTGATACTCCGTTAAAACCCCATTCAGAAAAAAACAAAAGAACATACAGAGAGTGGTGGCACATCTGCAGAAAATTTGGCTGCCATCTGTGAACTCTGACAAATACGACAAGATGGTTAAAAAAATCTCTTCAATTAACATGATGACACGGACTATGACTAAGCAATTTGAGAATTTGTCCCCTACTTCTCATCAACTTCTTAATGAGGTAGCAACACACGAGGAGTCATAACTGCTGAGATCCAGATGCTCCAAATGAATACAAAAATAATTCCATGTACTGCAAGTTGCCAGAGGCTGTATATTTCTTTTTGATAGCAAGTTGCTAGTGCTGGGTCTGAGTCCACCTTGCTGAATCCGAGCCAAGTCTAATTTGGTAACACTTTTCACTATTAACTAAGAATTTTCCCTCAATAAACTCCTAATGTGCTGCTTATTGATAGTAAGGTAGTTGTTTTAGTAGTTATTATTGCATTCTCAGTTATGTAGGAAGTTTCGGTAACACTTTATTTTAGGGTCTCTTAACTAGTTGCTTATTAGCATGCATATTACTAGAATATTAGCCATTTATTAGTACTAATTAAGCACATATTAATGCCTTATTCTACATGACCTTATTCTACATCCCTAATCCTACCCAATACCTAAACTTAACAACTACCTTACTAACTATTAATAAGCAGCAAATTAGGAATTTATTGAGGGAAAAGTCATAGTTAATAGTGAATAAGTTTTCCTTATTCTAAAGTGTTACAGTGTCTTGGAGCTATTGTTTGAAACTCTTGAAACATATCAATAGAAGTCTGTATGATTGTTTAATCTCACTTCATATGCTGGTGTTAAAGGGCTAGTTCGTTCAAAAAAGCTAATTCTGTCATCATTTACAACCATATGCATTTCTTTCTTTTTACAACACCAAAGAAGATATTTTAAAGAATGTTGGGAACCAAACAACTGTGAAGCCCTTTGACTTATATTATATGAACAAAAAACTGAGATATTTCACAAAAAATCTTCTTTTATGTTGCACAGAAGAAGAAAGTCTTACAGTTTTGGAACAATATAAGGTTTTTTTTCTGGGTTAACGGTCTCATTAAGTCAACTGATAACTCCTGTGTGTTTTTAATTTCTCTTAGTGGGATGGTGTCGGGCCGATCCCTGGTTTCTCAAAGTCTCCTAAAGGTGCTGAAATGCTGTGGCACCCATCTGTAGTCAAGCCCTATCTTACCCTGTTAGCGGAGAGCTCAAACCCAGCCACACTAGAGGGCTCCGCCGGGTCACTCCTGAATCTCTCCGCAGGAAACTGGAAGGTGTGTAATTGAATTCGACAACCCACATAGGACCAAGTGTTACAGTCTAAGACAGTTCATAGGCTTGTGATTGAAGCTAGTAAAAAAACTAAAACAAAAAAAAATCTTAAAAGCATATTTAGGGTACAATCTGTGTTCCTTTACTTGTTTTGACAAAAAATTAACAGCAGTAAACATATCAAATGGAATAAGGTCACAACTGTGAGAAATAAAGTCACAATTGCCAAAAAGTCACATTGTGAGATATAAATTAAAAGAAAGTCACAACTGAGATGTTGAACACGCACTGCACAATGTGAAGTCACATTTGTGAGATATAAACTTGCAATTACCCTCTTTTTTTATGCTCCAAGAAATTTTTATTTAGAGATGTCATTTTGATTGTTATTGCTAAAATAGCATAAAACTGTCTAGACATCCCAATTTTTGGTTATTACATTGCTTGTTTTGCAAACGTTTATAAAATAAATGTAAAAAAAAAAAAACGTGTAATATTTAGTTGTTTTTGTTTTTTTTGGACAAACATTTTCATTGATTGGCATATTCAGTCTGTATTATGTATATGTATTTGGGGGAAAGTGCTCAAATCTGTTGTTTCTTTAATAAATTTCAAATGGCAAATTTCCATTCATATACAGTATAATTAATATAATTTTAATTGAAGTTAATTCCCTTTTCTGCCTTTGAATGTGTGTTAATCTGAACGTGTCTGTAGTTTGCAGTGTATATTCGCGCAGCGGTGCGCAAGGAGAAAGGTTTGCCCATTCTGGTGGAGTTACTGCGCATGGATAACGACAGAGTGGTGTGCTCCATTGCCACAGCACTCAGAAACATGGCCCTGGACGTGAGAAATAAAGAACTGATCGGTGAGAGTACCGTTACAACCTGTAATATTTTACTCATGCAGTATATGTCTTATCAAGTCAAGTCGAGTCACCTTTACTTTTATAGCACTTTATACAATACAGATTGTCAATGCAGCTTTTTTTCAGGAAAATACTATCAATAATGCAAACAAAATTCAATTCTGCTGTAAAGCAGCTCTAAAAAGAGGACAAAAGTAAACAATCAATTTTTCAGTCAATTAAGACTTCATTGTTCATTGTTCATTGTTGATTCAGTGATGTCATCGTCCGGGTGAGAGTACCGTTACAACCTGTAATATTTTACTCATGCAGTATATGTCTTATCAAGTCAAGTCGAGTCACCTTTACTTTTATAGCACTTTATACAATACAGATTGTCAATGCAGCTTTTTTTCAGGAAAATACTATCAATAATGCAAACAAAATTCAATTCTGCTGTAAAGCAGCTCTAAAAAGAGGACAAAAGTAAACAATCAATTTTTCAGTCAATTAAGTCAGTTCATTGTTGATTCAGTGATGTCATCGTCCATTCATAATGACAGCTGCCATGAAAATAATTCTTCCCTGAGTTTTACACATGCAATTTGCAGTTTCACTGTTAAGAAGATCGATAATCCTAATTGTGTGAGCGTGATGATTGAAGTTGGTTGTATCTCAGGGAAATATGCCATGCGGGACCTGGTGAACCGTTTGCCGGGGGGAAACACTACACAGCTGTCAGATGATACGGTGGCGGCAATCTGTTGCACACTGCATGAGGTCACCAGAAGAAACATGGAGAATGCTAAAGCCCTGGCAGATGCGGGCGGCATTGAGAAACTCTTCAACATCACCAAGGGTAGAGCAGAAAGGTAAGTGACTGCTATGAATACTACACAAATAAGCCATAATGCTTGTTCATCTTTTATATAGTCATTCAATACTTCACCATTGCACACATATACAGATATAATTTCTTCATTTGTCTAAATCAGTGGTTCTCGGCTCCACCGCTCTGCTGATTTTGTATGTTTTTCACATGCGTTCACAGCAGGTACTCTATGAAGGTGGTGAAGGCGGCCGCTCAGGTGCTGAACATGCTGTGGCAGTACAGAGACCTGCGCACCATCTATAAGAAGGTGAGCGGCAGCACAGTAGGGCTACAACTGCTCCACATCAGGGGGTGTGTGTTTATTTCTTACTGTGTTTGAGCAGGATGGCTGGAATCAGAATCACTTCCTGACTCCTGTATCAACTCTGGAGAGAGAGCGCTTCAAATCACAACCCACTCTACCGTCATCCACGCTACAGATGTCCCCTGTGCACCATACAGGTTAGTGTCACACCTTATACAAACACATACATTACAGTGTTGTATTGTTCATTAAGTAAGGAATAATTGATGACGGGCCGTTGAATTATTAGAAAATAATGCACGTTACACCTTGGGTGTGCATTATTGTCTAATAATTCAATGGACTGGAGTCAGTTATTCCGCTTATACTACTCTTACCACACCTCAAGACATCAATCAGATGATATATTTCAAGGCATTCGTCCGGTTTTTGTCCTTAAAACGGATTAATTTCTTACGCATCTCATCCAACGCCAATCAGATTCAAGCATTCAACGCCCCGTAGTATAAGAAATGATAATGAGCACCGGTGATTGAAGATGAACTTAGGACAGTAGGTTGATGGAGATCTTAGTATAATGCACTCCAGAAAATAGCTGATTTCCATCAGATTGAGCTGAAAATTATCCCAAAATGCTGTGTGTGTCAAACATTTCCAAAGAATTGTTGGAGATACTGGCTGCTTTTGATTTCCGTCAGGATCAGTGGATCAGGACAAACTCCGATTTGACACAAATTAAAATAGTCATCGTGATCGAACGTACATGCAATACAAATGCCTTTATTATGAATGTTACACACCGTCAAATAAAGCTGTTATAAAGTCTGTTCAACTCTATACATTGTTACATATGTGTTCAAAATTACTTAAATGTGTTTAAACAGTGAAGGCACACATCGCTCGTTTCCTGGATATTTTGATATGCCACATTTCAACAAATTCAAATACTGAATAAAGTTGTAACCTGGGGCATCATTTATAAAGACTTGTAGAATGATCCTAAACGTAAGTACTCAACAGTTTTCCAAAATGAACTATTGATAAAATGCATTCCTCTTTATAAATGGCAGTTCAGAATGCTCACGAATATCTCTTTATGGTACAGAAGTACTGCGTGTCTGTGCAAACAGGGTGCGTGGAGGTATGCAAATACATACATTTGACAGGCAAGTGGGACAGCCTTTCATAGCCTTCTGTCCAAAGGATATGATTGGTCGAACATTTTATGGTCCTAAGCCTTCCACACACTATATAAATACATTTAGCCCAATTAACTTAGTGATCACCTACCCTACCTTTAAGTAATAACAATTTATTTTGTGTTGTATTTGTGTTTGCATTGCCATATTTTATATTTTTATTTTTATATTTATATTATTAAGGAATTAAGAACATAAACAATCCTACAATATATATTGTAGAGAGACTTTTTCAGCTATGTAGATTTTCAATGTCCTGACCATTAATAGATAATGGCAGAACAGTATTTTGTCTCCACTGGAAATCAGACCCCATTTCCTTTGTTTTTAAGACATTCCATTTAAGATTATGGATACAGCACTATTCAGTCAATGTAGACACTTCTATAGTCTGATTCATTATTCTCTTTTATCAGGCCAATCAATGTAGTGTCATCTGCTAACTACAGATTCACAGTGTGAGCCAGTCGTTAGTGTAGGCAGAAAACAATAGTGGTGACATTACACAACCTTGTGGAGCCCCTATAATCGCTGTAACTTATCAAAACGTTTAACCTGTCCTGAACAACTGTATTAAATCCAGATTTACAGAGCCCTCACATAGCTATCAGGAGCTTCAAGGTGTTGCTAGAATGAATGAAAACACAGAGCCACAGCATCATCTACCGACCTGTTAGCCTTATGGGCAAATTGTTGGAATCCAGACAGACTATAGAAATTAGATTTTAAGCAGCAATCGCTCAAAGATTTTCATGGCAACCAAAGTCAAGGCCACTGGTCTGTAGTCACCTAGGCAGCTAATGTTCCAATAATGCTATATCTCAATAATGTTGAAATCATATTTGATAATATATGATAACATATATTTATTAAGTGTTTACTTGATTATGTTCCAGTAATATAAATCCGTGCATATTAGTGTTTAAACAGCAATTCACACAAATACAATGTTTAAAGGTTAGAAGACCATACATGTTACTGAAATAAATAAAATAGGGGGCCAGCCAATAAAATCTGTACTCATGAGCACCAAAAAGTTCAAATGCTTCTCAGTTGTCATTCACATAAGATTTCCACATCAGTTTCAGCCTTATTTTTACATCCCAATTTGTTCCTTACCTTTAACATATGATAAAATCCATGAAATTTAGGATCAAATCTGATCGTTGCATGTGTTTTATTAATGAGGCCTCTGGTTTTGTTGATTTTTAAGAAAGAACCTACATTTCTTGACCATTATTTTATAATAACTTTAATCACATTATAGAATGCTAGTACAAATCATTAAAATCGTAGCACTGCTCATATCAGTCACTTAAAGCTGCATGCCTGAAGAACCTAGAAGTGCAGTTTACTAACTACACTGCTCAAAAAAATTAACACCTAGTCATCACAGTATAACACCACGTCATTAAACTTCAGGGATATCCCATTAATTTGTGCCACTTCATTTTTTGGCATCATTGGTGACTTCATCATTGAACGATGACATCACTGAGTCAATGATGAACTGACTTTAACTGAAATATTGACTCTTTACTACTGTCCTCTTTACAGCAGAATTGAATTTTGTTTGCATTATTGACACACTCTTTTCCTGTTTAACGATGTAAAGCTGCTTTGACACAGTCTGTATTGTATCAAAGGGACAGTTCACCCAAAAATGTAAATGAACCCATGATTCACTCACCCTCAAGCCATCCTAGGTGTAAATGACTTTCTTCTTTCAGATGAATACAATCGGAGTAATATAAAAAAAAATGTCCTGGCTCTTTCAAGCTTTATAATGGCAGTGAATGGCTGTTGAGGTTCAATAGTCCAACAGAAGTCCAATAAAGTGCATCCATCCATCATAAAAAGTACTCCACACGGCTCTGGGGGTTAATAAAGGCCTCCTGAAGTGAATTGATGCATTTGTGTAAGAGAAATATCCATATTTAAAACTTTATAAACCGTAATCTTTAGCTTCCACTAACTGTTGTACGCGTGTGAGTGGCATTCCAGGCAACAGCAGGACAACCTCCAAAAAGGAAATGGTTTTTCAGGTGATGGTTACTACTTCCTCCACATGCTCCTCCGTGTGCTAGCCTACGGTAGCCTTATTGCTGTTAGGTACCGGGTGAAATCCTCAGAGCCACTGTCAGACCTTACACTGCTGCAGTGGGCCCTGGCTTCCATCCAGCCCTCGGTGGCTTGATGATTTGGTTTCCGTCGACCATCGTCACATCATTTTGTTCTCAACCAATTACACAGTGTATATAAGTAAGGATTTTCAACTTGAATATTTAATTCATCAAGATCCAATGTGTGATTTAAGTGTTCCTTAATTTTATTGAGCAGTGTGTTATGTGATATTACATAATTTTTACAGTGAATGAGGAGTGAAATATCACAGCTGTGTATTTACTGTTATAAAGTAGATATAGTTCTGACTAGGCATGGGCCGGTATGAGATTCTGACGGTATGATAACCTTAGATAAAAATATCACGTTATTGCGATTACAGCTCTAAAATATGTTATTTTTAAATGTCTGGGTAAAATAAACACTTTTTTTCCACTGAACACATTTTATTTTTAAGAAACATATAGAACATTTTGGAACAGTAAACATGTCAGGCTAAATAATTAGAATAAATAATTAAATTCTTCTTAATTAAATGCAGTCACTTAAGTGAGCCTAAACCTGCAGCTCAACAATAATCAGAACATAAATAAATTATTTTCTGTAAAAAAAAAAAAAAATCCCTATAAATGAAAAAAAATACAGTCACTTAAGTGAACCTAAACCTGCAGCTCAGTAATCAAAAATATAATCGAAACATAATTTCTGTAAAAACACACACACACACACACACATACACATACACACACATATATATATATGTATATATGTATATGTATGTATGTGTGTGTGATTGTGTGTTTGTGCGTAATCTGCGTATGTATGTATATACATATATACTACGCTCTTCGCTGCACACAACTGAGGGAGTCCTGCACTTTCCGTCTTTGACAACACGTAAAAAAACTGCGCATACCGCAGGAACGTTATAACGGAAAATTTTAGTGGTTTTGAAACCCTGACTTTTCCAAACTGCGGTATACCTTGAAACCGGTTATCGTCCCATGCCTAGTTCTGACAGTAATTTCTGTTTGAGGTTTCTTGTAAAAATGCAGCTAAATTAACAATCAGTATCATGTGACACCCCTAGAATTAGGTTAGTTTATTTGTTTTCACATAAAGTGATTTGTTTGTTTGTTTGTTTTTTTAGCAGGCAGCACATTATCATCTCCCGCAGTGCTGGGCATCAAAGAACACTCTGATCATCAGAAGACACAAACTATGCAATTTTATGATTACCAAGAAGAAAACGGCATCAATAAAAACAAAAGCATAGGTATGAGAGCTTCCTTCAACAAAGGTGCCTGTTAACTGGACTGAGTTTACAAGCCGATTCATGAGTTCATAAGGATTTTCTATTCAAATTCAATTGTACTTTAATCTAGACCCCAAATCCAAAACTTACCTGATTACTATTTCTTTAAGCTAAAATTGAGCTACATGTATCTGCCTAACTGCAAGTCGATTTTTTTAAAGGGTCTGCAAAAGCATCTCACTATTACACTTCCCTGAGCAGAGAGGGCTCGAAACGAGAACAGGTGAGGCCGCTGAACTCAACTTCCCATCACTGTAATGAACCTTTACAATTTTCCTTTTCTACTGGATTGCCAATAGATTCTCATTACTGTAATTCACTAGCAGTTTGAACAATAATTTTATACTGGACTACAAATTATTATTGAAACTAGTTCAAATTGTTTTAGCTACTTTATAACAAAATAAATAAATTATTGCGTTTAACTGAGTGTCTCAATTCAGTCACTTGATGATGTTCCACTTGGTTTAAGATGCCCTCGTGGATTTATGAACAGAGCTCTTTTGTAGAATGCCCTGTTGGCTGTCTATGAATGATTCTCACAAAACGAGCTGAAAATGAGAATAAACAAGATCCTGACTGTTTAGCTTAAAACCAGATTGTTTTGTTTGTGTGCAGAAGGTGTATCGCACCGATGAAACGGGCCACAGAAACCATGACACTTACCGCACATACCTGCATTCACCACACGCCTACGAGGACTCGTATCTGGAAAAGATGGTGCACTATTCTCCCGCTGATTACAGCCAGACACACGGCTTCAGAACCACAAGCAACTATGTGGACTTTTACTCTTCCACCAGGAGACCGTTACACCGCAGTGAACATTACCAGGGATCCCCCGACTCATGGGTATAGAGACCCGGCTTACAGGCTGCGCTATCTCGAAGACAGAAATGGATTTGGGAACACATTGCTTTTAAGGAGATGTGAGAAGTGGATGCAAAGCATATGAATGTGATGGAGAATGTCTAGCAGAATGTTGGTTTAATGGAAATAAGGAATGAATCATGAACTCTGTATGTAGGGGACTGGAGAGATGTAGCAGACCAGGGGTGCCAAAAAACACCGCCCTGCGGAGTTCAGTTCAAACCCTGCTCCAACACACATGCCATATAGTATTCAAATAAGCCTGAAGGATTTGATTAGCTGGATCAGGTGTGTTTAATTAGGGTTGAAGCTAGACTCTGCAGGACTGCGGCCCTCCAGAAACTGAGCTTTGCACCCCTGGTGTAGACTTTAGATGATTTTTGTTAGCTTTAAAGTATGAGTGACTCACTGAGGAAAGAGACTGGGAAATTCTTAACCTGGGTCACCTGAACATGAACTTATAAATAATAAATAAATAAGGATTAAATGTATATGAAGGATTTCAGAGAGAACATTGTACCTGTTGTTGTTGAGATTTTTAATGCTATGGAGTCTTGTACATATCTTTCATTTATTTTTGAAAATAGCTGCCACATGGTTTGTTTTACTACACTGGTAAAAACTCATATCATGTTAAACCTCGTAGACCTAAGTGAATAAACGGTGAGTGATGTCATTACATCAGCTTTTTTTTTTTAGTGGTGCTGTTATTATGAGTTAAACACAGAGTATTGTGCATCAGTTTAAGGTAGCACAGAGGGCAAACATGTCCATGTCAAAAACTGTCATAAAAAATAAATACATTTTCAGGTTTTAACACTTTAAATTGTTTTCCATTTGCCACGTCGATCATGAGATCATCCTCGCAGGATCATGTGACATGCGGCTTTTTTCTTTTTTTACAAACACTTGAACAGTGGCCATAAAAGGCAATTATAACATGTTAGATACAATAAAAATATAATAAATAATAACCAGAATAAAAAGGTAAAATCCCATTCTCTATTAATAAGGATCTCTATCTACAAAAATCCTAAATCCTAAAGGAACAGTATAAGCTTGGGAAAAGATAATTATTATAGTTTTTTTTTTTTTTTTTTTGCATACCTTCCCATTTAATATTAAGATCTAAGTTTGTTTCTATATCTAGAGTTTTCTGGCGATTTAGTAAGTTCTCAGGGAATTATTTACCATTATGCGCTCCTTGACATATACATGTATTTAACATTTTTCTAAAAAAGTAAATGTCCATTACCGTTTAAAAACTGTGACACGAAAACCAACAAACTATTTATAATCAAATTATCTAAAAAAAAAAAGTTTTTTTTTTTTTTGTGAATTTCATTTACCATTATGCGCTCCTTGACATATACATGTATTTAACATTTTTCTAAAAAAGTAAATGTCCATTACCGTTTAAAAACTGTGACACGAAAACCAACAAACTATTTATAATCAAATTATCTAAAAAAAAAAGGTTTTTTTTTTTTTGTGAATTTCGTAATTATTCCAAATTATGCATTTGTGGGGGGAGAAATTGTGTCTTGTATAGTATATAATCATCCATGAAAATTAGAAAGCTTAATGGGAAGCTTTTTAAAATTACAGTTGAGGGGAAATTCAATGCCACCAATTTTTTCTAAACATAATATTAGGTATACAATACCATAAATTATCTTTTTTTATCCACCTAATTTTAAATATGATATTTGATATTTTAAAATAACGTTATATTAGCTAAGCTTCCCTTGGTGAACTACAATGTGTTTTTTATTGTTTATTTTTATTTTATTTTTATCCAGCTGTATTTACTCAGTGCAACTTATACTGTAATATCCAAGTGAAATATATAACACCAACATGTCAGAAAAAATTTAATTAATTAAAAAACACAATCACTGAGTTGGTAAAAGGATCACCCCCTTGTGTCCGTATTTTGTTGAAGCACCTTCTGCTTTAATTACAGCCTTAAGTCTGTTAGGATTTGTCTCTACTAACTTTGCACATCTAGACTTTGCAATATTTGCCCACTCTTCTTTGCAGAGCTGCTCAAGTTCAGTTCAATCTGATGGTGAGTTTGTGGACTGCAGTCACAGATTTTCAGTGGGGTTTAAGTCTGGGCTCTGACGTGGCCATGGAAAGACATACAGCCTTTTCTCCTTCAGTCACTGTGTGCTCAGTTTTGCTGTGTGCTTTGGGTCATTGTCATGTTTGAAGGTAAACCTTCTTCCCATTGACAACTTTCTGGCAGAGGGCAGCAGATTTTCCTCAAGAATCTGATGATATTTTGCCCCATCCATGTTTCCTTCTATCCTGACAAGTGCTCCAGTCCCTGCTGCAGAGAAACCCCAGAACAGGACATCACCACCTCCATGTTTTACTGGAGGAATGCTGTTATTTGGATGCTGAGCTGTATTGGGTTTCTGCCAGACATATCGTTTGGTGTTGAGGCCAAATAATTCAGTTTTAGTCTCATCTGCCTCAGAATCTTCAAGGTGAGTTTTGGCAAAGCTCAGTCTGACTGGATGGGGTCTTTCTTGAGGAGTGGCTTTTTTCTTGCAACCCTCCAATACAAGCCACATTTGTGAAGAGAATTTGTGATATTGTTATCAAATGCACACAATAACCACTCTGTCATAAATTCCTGCAGCCACTTCAGAGTTGCTGTCGGCCTCTTGGTCTCCTCTCTGATCAGTTTCCTCTGGCTCTTTCATCAATTTGGAGCGACGTCCTGATCCTGGGAGGGTCTGTGTTGTACCAAATACCTTCCACTTCTTTATAATAGACTTAACTGTGCTTCTAGGCATTGATAAGACCTTTAAAAAAAAATTGTATCCATCTCCTGACTTGTGTCTGTCCACAACTTTATCCCGGAGATCTTTTGACAGTGTCTTGCCACCCATAGTTGATTGTTTGCTTCAGTTGCACTACCAAGGCCTGAAATGCTCCAGGAAAGCTCTTTTCATGCTGAGCTAATCAAAATGAGCACAGCTGATCACAGTTGAAAGTCAAATGATTTTGTGTGCCATTGAAAAGGTGATTAGCTATGTCTGATGGAGTTTACAAGTCATTTTTAGGAGGGGGTGATCCTTTTCACAACTTGGTGATTCTGTTTTTTTTTTTTGTTTGTTTTTTCTGACATGTTGGTGTTCTATCATTCACTTGGATGTTATAGGTTGCAGAGTAAATACAGATGAAATACAGAGTAAATACATCTGGAGTAAAATACAGCAGGAATAAAACAAATACAAATGCAGAGTAAATACAGCTGGATACAACAAAAACTGTCTTTATTTCAGAATGCAAAGCAACAAAATGTGATTATTTTAAAGGGAGGTGATTCTATTCTATACCCACTGTGTGTGTGTGTGTGTGTTTGTGTGTGCACACAAAACAGTTCTTTCTGGTCCTCTAATCTGATTGGCTGAGAGGAGTGCAATATTCTAGTGATAACAGAGCTCCAATCATTTCACCATTTGTATCACTCCGCTTTCGGTATTTCTCACAGCAAGTGTAATGGTGGACAACCAAATCCACTATAATTTTTATAAATAATACTGTTTTTGTGTCATGGAATATGCTTTTAAGAGTTTTTAGGTGAGAATGTACTTGTTTAGACTTCAAATATGCGGTTTGTTATTAAAGATAACGTCTATTTGAAAATTTGCTTCGATGTTTTGGGAGACGTGAGCTCCAGGGCCAAGTAGTAGGATGATTGGAAAGGATGAGTTTAGAGACTTCTGCCTTAGAGAGTGGAGAGAAGGATGAAAACGAGTGTATGTTTGCTGGTAAGATGTGTTTGACAGTTTGTGGTTGCGTCATGAACCCGCCGAGAGCAGTCTCACCTCGGCCAGATCTTCTGGAATTTGCCGCTGGCTCTGATGTCTTTATAGTCGTTAAACATGAGATATAATTAGTTCTGGGTAAATCTAACGGGCAGTCTTTAGACTCATTAATCTATTATTAGTTCCAGAGCAAATATTTTATGTAACTTTAATGCAGTATATCAGAGCGCTGCCTTTGTACTGGACTGCCTAGCAACTTTTATGATGGCTGTTGTTTTTTTATAAAATTTTATCATTCAATAAATATTTTATATAAATAATAATAGTATTTAATTAGAGTAGCTACTTAGTATTGAGAATAGACCAGTACTATAGTGAAATTGCTAACCAACCAAAACCTTTTTTTGAGTGATTCTCCACCCAGCACTCACGCTGGTAGCTTTAAGTATAAGTCCAAGTGCAACCTTAACTGTTACAGAGGAAAAAAATGCATCAACATTGTAAAGAGTTAATTTTCATAAGTAGTGGAATAATTTATAGGTATCTATTATAATTTGCCTTGGCTCTCAAATATCAAATATACTATATGCTTGCAAAAGTTTTTTTTTGTTTTTTTAAATTTCCTAAACATGCAACACCACAATCTGAAGCATGCACTGGGCTACACATAGCTTATAACATGAGCAGCAGATGGATGGGAGCAGCTGTGGAGTCATACTTTTAAAATTAGGGGAACAAAGTATTTATCTTAAGTGAAGATTTTGTTTACCCCATGCATAATAATGTTCTTGGATAACTTGATTTGTTAGTTTGCAAAGGATTACCTAATCACAGGGGGAGCTCTCAATGTCCAGACACATACAAAATGTGTGGAAATGGCCAGATATCGTAGTGTGCACATTAATTGAACATGATGGTGGTAAGTTTATTTATTTGCAATCAAATTCACTTTCACCTTTTAAAGGCATTGCTGGAGACTGGTGTCCTTTTGGTGCTTCAACAGCACATACTTGGCATTACCAATACTTCTTTATTATCAAGCTTCCATACCCAAACACAATTTATTGATAAGGTGGATCATATTGATAAAGTAGCTTTGGTAAATACCCATGTCTTTATTCCACAAGGTGACATTTATGCCCTCTGCACAGCTTGTAACAAGATATTGACATCTCTGAAAGCTTTACGATGGTAAATGATATATAGATTCACACTGTGTACACAGGATAAAGTTTAACATACTTGACGTGCGTTGATTTAATTTTAAGTCACTTGACTCTTTATAGGTGTAATTCATGTTCAAGGTGGAAACACTTAACTTGCATCCCTCATGTCACAACTACAGAGTTCCAACAGAATATAATTGTAGCCATTGCAAATTATAGTCCACTGTTTGGGATTCTAGCTGATCTGTTCTTTCACAGATTGATTAGTGGGTTGTTTGTCTTGGTTTTTTAAAATTGTTATTTCTTTCATTTGCTTTAGTGTTCAAGTAGAAAATATCAGTTTCCAAACATTCCTTTTATCCTTTAATTGTAACAATCCAGTGAGATTTTTGTATGAACGGTCACATGTGCCCTGTTATTTTATATGTACTTTTAAGTTGTGTGTTGTCTTTGTAGTCATTTTGTAGTTCTTTTGGCTTCCTTTATTACTCCCTGATTGTTCCCAGGTGTGTCTTGTCAGCATGTCAATATGTATTTAAACCCCAGTGTTGGATTTGTTTCCTTAGTGTTTTCTGAATTATGTTGTACTTTTGTTTTGCTTATTAAACACTGCATTTGGATCCAGCTCTCCTTTGTTTTGGAGTTCACAACACATCTGTGTGATCCACAGAGAGATCTGTGCCTAAAACAGTGCTTAAACTCTTCGAGGTAATGTAGTAAAATGAAAACTCTGAATCAGTGTAATTTTTTTTTAGATCAAAATGGAACCATAAAGGGCTAGAATCAAAATATCTCAAGTTTAAACCAACAAACATGGCTGCCAACAGCAAATCAAATTTCAGCAATTAATAACATCAAATCTGCAT